TGTTACTGGATATCAGTGACCATCTTTCCACCCATGAGACCTAAACATCTGTCTACCATCTAAAAAAACTTGCTCTGCTTGGACAAAAAAAAATGCTCCTTTGTTTCTTTCCAATCCATGGAACTCAACACTGAAAATGGAGCTGAAGGGGGAAAAAACCTTCTTTCTTCCAGAAAGCCTGTCATTATTATCCACCCATAGACCGCTTCTCACTATACATTGTTTTAAGTAACATAATTCGAGGTCATATGTCCACTGAAGACATTCCCTACCTTTAGCTTAAAAAAAAAAATCAGCAAATCAAAATTCTCATTAATTCTACTAACCTAGAAAAGGGGTAATTTTAAATAAAACGGTTTTTTTTTTTTTTTTAATTTTCCCCCAGAGCCCCAGTAGATAGTTGTATGTCATAGCTGCACATCCTTCCAGTTGCTGTATGTGGGACACGGCCCCAGCATGGCCAGAGAAGCCGTGCGTCGGTGCGCACCCGGGATCCGAACCCGGGCCGCCAGCAGCGGGGGGCGCGCACTTAACCGCTAAGCCACGGGGACGGCCCTAAAACGGTTTTTTAAATGTTTAATTCCTGTTGTGGCAAGAGACTAATTTAGTTCAATACTATATGCTTAATGGAATGGAACCAGGCAAGAAGTTTAAGAAGAAATAAGTGATAAATCTGGGGAAGCATCCAACATGTCATTTCGTTATGTGATAGACTCCCAGAATAAATACATGGGTAGGGAAGAAAAAAACATAGAAGTGAACCATCACTCCTTATCACAGATCATCTACTTATACATTTTGTTCTTACCCGATATGCTCTAAAGTATTCCTGAAACAAAGGAAGTTATTTCCTCTATAATTCAAGACCCAAGATCATTCTTTCAACTGGCAATCATCACCTATTAGATACAGACATGACTAACTTCCTTTCATTAAAATAAAATAGAACACATGGCAAGTACTCAGTCTCAGATACCTGTGAACTAAAACTTTATGCTATATATTACCTTTCTAACTGTCTAAACTCTGGATCCCACTAGTAATTGTAGAAGAGTAATCAGAACAGACAAAACAGGAAGGATCCTATTCAACCAATCTTTTCTGAGCACTCTGGGTCAGGGACAATGCCACAGGCACAAAGGAACACAGAAGATTCCACTCTTCCCTGCAGGAATGCACCCCAGGGTGCACACACAAACACAAAGCAAACTCGAAATGCCTTTGGTGCTAAAAGGCAGGATGAGAACGTTGAAGAGCACAAAATCACATGCTGCCTGAGGAAATCACCCTTCCAAAGACAACTGATGCTTGCCACGGAGCTTAGGAATCCTAAAGTACCTAGAGTATTTAGATACAAATAGTTCTACTGTCCCACAGCCATAAGCAACAGTTACTGTTTTTTATTTAGAATGGCCAGAAAGTCCTTACAAACTTTGGATACCGTAACAATTTTAAGAGAAAACCAAGCCATGCCTAAATAAGATACAGCTTTTGAAATAAGATACGAAGGATATAAAACAGAACCTTCCCTGCTTTGATATATACTGCAATCCTTAGAAATTTAACTACTTTTATTTTTTCAGAAATTAATTTTCCCCACCTTAAATATAAAGTTTTTAAATTTTACTTCTTTCTTGGAATATTAAAAGAAAAAGGGTCGGGGCCGGCCCCGCGGCTTAGCGGTTAAGTGCACGTGCTCCACTGCTGGCGGCCCGGGTTCAATCCCGGGCGCGCACCGACGCACCGCTTCTCCGGCCATGCTGAGGCCACGTCCCACATACAGCAACTAGAAGGATGTGCAGCTATGACATACAACTATCTACTGGGGCTTTGGGGGAAAAAATAAATAAATAAAATTTAAAAAAAAAAAGAAAAGAAAAAGGGTCAATCGTGACAGAGTTTGAAAAAACACCTTATAATAAATATATAATAAACCATCAGTCTTCCTAGCTGACTTATCCAGTGAGTCATTTTCTCCAATTACGCTTTAAAATTGTCTTTAGATTCCTATATTATCATTTCTATCACTATTCTGATCTTTATCAACTTTGCTTTTCTTCTCATTTACCTCCCTTTTCCGAGTTTGAAGTTCTCTCAAATTCTATCCACCAAAGAGAAGCCACGCATTTGTGCCCCATCCCATCCCAATTCACTAGGAAGCCTGCAGTTACCAACCTTTCACAGCTAGGTGGTGTCCTGCACAAATTTAAACCAAACCAGATTTTTTTTTTTTTTTGTGAGGAAGATCAGCCCTGAGCTAACATCTGCCAATCCTCTTTTTGCTGAAGAAGACTGGCCCTGGGCTAACATCCATGCCCATCTTCCTCCACTTTATGTGGGACGCCACCACAGCATGGCCTGACAAGCGGTGCGTCGTGCGCGTCCAGGATGCGAACTAGCGAAGCCCCGGCCGTGCAGCGGAGCGAGCACACTTAACCGCTTGCGCCACAGGGCCGGCCCCCCAAACCAGATTTTTAACACACAATACCATCCTAAATTCTAGAATCATTTCCAAGAAACTGAAAACACACAAAAGAAAAAAAGGTTTTTAAAAATCTTGTTAAGGGCCGGCCCGTGGCTCAGCCGTTAAGTGCACGCGCTCCGCTACTGGCAGCCCCGGTTCGGATCTGGGGCGCGCACCGACGCACCGCTTCTCTGGCCATGCTGAGGCCTCGTCCCACATACAGCAACTAGAAGAATGTACAACTATGACATACAACTATCTACTGGGGCTTTGGGGAGAAAAAGGAGGAGAATTGGCAATAGCTGTTAGCTCAGAGCCGGTCTTCCTCAGCAAAAAGAGGAGGATTAGCATGGATGTTAGCTCAGGGCTGATCTTCCTCACAAAAAAAAAAAAAAAAAAAAACGTTAAAATATCAACTTACAGATATAAAGGCTGACTATATTCACGTACTCCTTACCAAGAGACATCAGAAGCCACGTGTAGCCACCCTTCAGCATTAACCAACAACGCAGCTGACCTTCACCACGCAGTCATGCCCACTGCACCCCAGTGGAAGGTAACGGGAAACACCACTAAGGTGACACAGTCAAGATTACACTGCAATTCTGAAGAGCTGAATTAAAAATAATTCACCAAGTTTTAAAGTGCCCTCTTTAAAAATGAAAAAATACACATAAACTTATCCCACCCCAAACTGGTTTTTGAGTTTGCTAGGTTGAAACCTGTCGATGGTGGCCATGAGTACACAGTTGTATTTGTTTGAAACTGTCCAAAATAGAGTTAATAGTTCTACTCTTGCTTCTACCCTTAAAAATAATGGGTTTGCTTAAAAAGGAAAACTACTGTATGCCACCCGGTCGCAGATATCATACTAGAATTCTCTAGCCATCATTTAGTCTTCAGAGTATTACTCATCCAGCCCTCCCCATCCAGCCCTCCAGATAAGCCTCTGTCCTGCAGCAAGAAATACCTCCCAAATCTTCCACTTTCAAATCCAGAAGAAAACAAATTTAAACACTGATATTTTGAAGAGGACGCTGAACTCATCTCAAATTCTTTAAAGGGTCTTAAATCCCCAACTTTCTCATCTTCTACAGCACCACACTAAGCATACTTAGGCATGTTTCAAAAGTCAGCTTCTCAACCCCTTTTGTTCTCCTCCCACTTCCCGTCAAGTCATCCACACCCACAAACTACGACACCCAGCCAATTTACTCCCCAAATTCATATTCTGCATAATCCAAAAAGTCCCACAGCTCCTTGGATAACGTGCACAAACAGCACTCACCTTTTTATTACAAATACAAAAGTCCTAACCCCATGGGAGCTGAAGTCTCTTACTGGAAACAAGAAAAGTCTGGATTAAACCTTCCCCGAAAGAACCTGGGGGCGGGGGGGGGGGCGGACTGGGGAAGAGGCGGAGAGAAGACATAATTCCTTCAGATATCACTAAACCATTTTTGTTATGTGTAATTATTACAAAGAATGATTAAACCTGAAGAATCAGCAAACAAGTCCAAATGGTAAGAGTTTCTCTTTCCTTTTTAACTTTCCTACTAAATCAATTAGTTGCCTTAAAAGATTCTAGCCATAATATCTTACTACGAATCCACAACTGAACTAAAAACGTTGAAAAATACCAGGAGCGCCGCTCAGCCCACTCTTCCTAGGGAGCCCCCGGGGGGCGGTCTCCACAGCGGGCACTTCCGTTCCGCAGCTCACGGGAGCAGGGCAGCACCGAAGTTCACGTCCCTGACCACAACCCGTCCCACCTCGGAACACCTTTTTCCAGACGACACAAGGTTTGCAAAGTACGCTTCTCGCGTCCATTCTTTCCTTACTCGGGCAAAAGCTGATATAAACTTGACTTACATAAACCGCGTTACACGCTGAACTGAAACGAAGCAAACTGGCTTAAGTAGCGAGTTGAAAATCAGGCATTTTGCTAATCAACAAACTTCCGACAACTCAGCGGGGAGCTCTGGCAACCCGGCCCCGCGGCCCCACGCCTGCGTCCCCGTCTCCGTGTGGGGACGCCGCCTCCCCCGGCTCCTTCCTTCTGTAAACCCACCTCGCGCTGGCTTCAGGGTCAACTACGCGGGGCCTTCGAGAAAAAGCAAGCCTCTCCCGCTGCGGGCCTGCGCTGCCGAGCGAGACGGGCCGGGCTCGGCCCCGGGCGGACAGGGCAGGAGAGGCCCCCACCGCCGCCCGCACGGCCCCAGCCCCAACCGCCGGCGCGGGGACGCGGGGGCCGGGGACGCGGCAAGTCTGGACCCCGGTCCCGAGCCCCACCCCTGGCCCTCGGCATCGGCCCTACACCCGTCCCCGGCCGCGACCCCGGCCTGACCCCCACGCCGACCCCCGGCCCCACCCCAGGCCCCGATCCCACCCCAGGCCCGCGGCCCGCGACCTCCGGCCTCCGCCTCCGGCCTGACCCCCACCCGACCCCCGGCCGGCACGGCCCGGCGACCGCACGCGTTGCCAGGCCCGGGTCAGGTCCGCGGCCCGCCCCCTGCCCCGCGCGGGCGGCCCTCACCGAGGACGCGGGGACGGCGCGGCGGGAAGGGGCCCGGTCTCCCTCGGCTCCGGCACGACGGCGCTGCTGACGGTGACGGCTGCACCTCGCGCTTTCCTTTCTCTCCTTTCTCCAACAACAAACAGGAAGTGCGTCACGCGGCGACATCCACTTCCGCCCGGTCCTGACGCCGCGCATGCGCCTCGTGCGCCCCGCCCCGCCTTCCCGAAGCTTCGGGGCTGTTGGGCCGACGCGTGTGCCGACCCCGCTGGTTCCGTAGGAGCTGTGCCCGCTGTGCACCCGGACGTGCCTCACGGGGAGGCGGGACTCGGGCGGGTAGGGTCGCGGTCCCGGGCTCACCCGAGGTCCGGGTGCCGCCTCCGTCCCCGGCCTCTCCGTCACCGAGGCCCCGACGACGGAACGCCGGAGCGTCGGGCAGTGCTGGTCGGATCGGAACCCGAGACCGGTTTTGGGGTTCGCGCGCTGTGGCCTCGTGCTAAGGGGTCCTGGCCCGCCGGGATCTCAGTGCTGACCCCGGGCGCCGTTGTCCCCGGTGGCGGCCCCGCACGTGTCCCTGCGGGTCTGTCCTCTCCCCTCCCGGGTCCTGAGAACGAAGGTGCCCGCGCACGCTGAGCGCCCCCGCCCCGGTGCTGACCCCGGGCGCCGTCTCAGCCCTCTCCACCAAGGCCTCAGTTCTTGCTCCTCAGCCCTTGGGAGACTTGGGTAGAAGGAGGACACGTGTTAAACGCTGCTGCTGTATGGTAGCGGATTCATAACCTTCATTGTGGGCGTCTGGAAGGCTTAATACCCATGGTTCTAGTTTTTCCTACTTCAGAACAAAGGATGGCTTTATATTGTGTATGTGCATTTCTTGTGTTTCTTAAACCCTCATTGTATTACTTAACAGCTTGTAGTTTTTAGCAGATGACCAATTAGCAAAAGAAAAAAATAATTTTTTTATTCTGAGTCAATTCTCTCTTCTTCTTTGTAGTAGGTTATGTAAATGCCTGGTCAAAAGGAAGGAATAACACCATATTTGGTTTTACTATGGACATCTCATGATAAAACCTAAAATAATCTCAGCAGAGACTGGAATTTCCTTCAGGTGTATGCGAGTTTGGCGCTGTCACGTGTAACGGCATCTGCCAGCAGGTCGATGGGGTTTTATTTCCCTTCCAGTGTTGACAGTACTATCATGTGACTTTTCACATTTAAATAAGTCCCTACAGCAAGTGTGAGCTAATCTCAAAATGCAGACAGCGCAGAGACATGAATTTTAAATAGTAAGTGGTAGGCTAGCCACAAATAACTTTTTCTTTCTCCCTCCAAAAAAAAAAAAAATTTATTACAGCATCTGTCAATGCAGTGAGCTGTATCATGAGAAAAACCAGCTAGTAGAAAACAAGGCGCCAGCCCTGATGGAATCCACGCGGTATTCTGGGAGAACAGGAATAAACACCCTGAAAGTTAGTTGAAGTGGCAGTATTCAAGGAGCTCTTTGTGGAAGAACAGAAGATCTTTCAAGATAAGATTAAGGATTTATTCCAAAGTTAATGTTAGCCCAGATGGTGGTGCTACTGGAAACTCTAGTTCAGAGGATGCTCACCTCAAAATGGAACAGCAAGGATTTAAATTGGGGTGAGAGGCATTTGCAGAGAATTAAAGAGGCAATGTGCCAGAGCACAAAGTCAGCCTAGGGAGAGTGAGCGCATCAGTTTGACGAGAGCACAGGTTTTAAATCATGACAATGGAAATAAAGATGGAGAAGTATTTGAGCCTGTGTGGAGGCCAAGGGCTTAACTCGTCATCTGGTAGAAAGAGAAGCCAAGCACTGACAAATGTGTGACTTGCAGAATGGGTAGAAGAGTAGGGAGACTCTGACTTAGTTTTCTCATCTGTAAAATGGGGATGATAAGCTTGCTGGGAAGGTTAATTGTATGTGCTCACCTCAGTGCCTGGCACTCAGAAATACTCAGTAAATAATGGCTCTTCTGTGTCACAGCCTCTTTGAAAAATTGATAAAAGGTACCAGCTTCTCCCCAGCAAAGTGTGCAAGTGATATGAGGGAATCTGTAGACACAGGCACACGTGCACGCACACACACCCTGCCAGGCCCATCCATGAGTCCAGGATCCTCAGGAGAAGCTCCTGAATGACAGTTGGGTGAATTTTATCAAACTAAAGTTGACCTTTGATCCAAGGATAATGTTTGTAGAAATTTGCCCTAAGGCGATAAATGCAGGGACAAGAAAGAAAAAAAAGGTACATGTGAGGTTACTGACCACAACTTTACAGATAATCAGTTCCTCCTTACCAGGAAATACCATGCAGGCTGTAAAAATAATAATGTGATTATAATTACTGACATCAAATATATCCAAGACACATTATTGAGATAGTGTAATGTGATCCCATATTTGTAAAACCATTTATGTGTGTGTGTATGAGTGTATACGTATGTGTATGTGAAATGCACACACACACACACTGTATGGGAGGAAAATAATTTTCCCTCTGCCCTTCTGAGTTCTTGGCTGAGAATCTCAATAATAAAAGACAGATAAAGGAGAAAAAGAAATACAAATTTATTAACACGTGTACCTCAGGTACACACGGCAGACACCCAGGAAAACTTGGTAACCTCCAGAAGACCACCCAAGCCACCGAAGTGAGGGGAGGCCAGTTAAGGGAGGCTATCGGGACAAACACAGTAAACAAGGGTAAGGTTCTCATGCAGATTTCGGTCGTTGCTTTCCCCATTGATAAGAGTTTCTGGTGATTTAGAATCATTCTCTTCTTCCTGGTAAGGAGAGTAAGACACCCTTACAAATGGAGATTTCCGTTAACAAAAGGGTAAACTACTCTGTTTTCAGAGCTTCTCCTGCACCTGCAGTTTCTCCAAAATAATTGGCTCAAAATAATCCTTATGCCAAAGAGGCATATTCTGCAACTTCAACATATACACACAGAAAAGTGGAAGAATATTCAGTCAATTGTTGGAGTTGCTTATGTCTAGATAGTGAGATTTCACGTAGTTCTTAGTTCTTTCTGATTTTTTGTATCGTTTGAACTTTTGTATTACATATACAATATATTTATTTTATAATTACTTTTCAAAACCAATAAAATCATTTTTATAGAGTTGAAACCAGGAATGACAAAGTGTGTCCAGAACTCTGTAGCAGTGTGGTGTGAGGTGGTGAGAGGTTGAAATAAAGTTGTGGAATAAGCATGAGAAGGATATTTATGCATTTATTGAACATGTATTGAACACCTACTGTATACCAGCACTATGCTGGGGTCTAGGCACAGGTCAGAGAAGACAGGACTCCTTCCCTGGAGGAGCTTAGAATCCAGTGAGGGAGAGAGCCCGTCGACTGTGGGTTGTCTGGAGCTGTATGGCCGTGCTCTGAGGACAGCAGGCCCCAGGCCCTGAGGAGGGACAGCTAAATCAGGATGGGGTGAGGAAGGGGTCAGAGAAAGCTTCCCAGAAGAGGCCAATCTTGAAAGAGTTTTGAAAGATAAGCCGGAGTTAATAGTTGAAGCCCTGCGTGGATGGAGAGAATTCCAGACAGAGGAAATGTTTCCGAGGGTGGCCAGGACCAAACAAAAAAAGATAAAGTGTACTATTTTTAAAACTAAAGCTGTTCCACGTTCTAGGAGTGGCAGCATAGTTCTTATTTCAGAAGGAAAAATCTTTTTTTTTGGTTATGCGAAGGTAAGGGCATCAGCAAGGTCCAGAAGAAAATGACTGAGATGGAAAGACTGTATGATAAGGTGAAGACTTCTTTGTGGAGAAGAGCATCTTTGCCAAAGTTACTGCAATTGTAACTGAGGAAGGTGGGCAGGAACCAGGGACTGCGGTGGAGGAGTAGAGGCCTGAGTCTGGTGGGCAAGGACGGCCAGAGGGGTGGCCTTGGAGAAAGGGCGTAGCCTGGGGCCAGCAGGCTTCAGAAGCAGTTGGAGCTGGCATCTGATCGAGTGTTGTTTCCGTACTTTTTCATTCCTGTTGTGACATCTGGAGTCTTCAGGAATGTTTCCTAATCTTTACAGCCTAGTGTTATCCTTGTGTGTGAAAGGTAGCCTTGAAGAATGCATGAAGGGCCGCTTCGGTGTGGGAGCAGGGCAGCGGGCTGGAGCAAGAGGGGACGGTGACAGTGGAAGGGTGCCTGCCCGGGGAGAAGGGCACAGTGAAGGGGAGGGTTCAGGACTTCTTGCAGTCATTTCAGAAGGAGACTCAAATTCTTTTATTGGACAACTAAAAGAAATGGTGACTCTGAAAGCCTTGGAAACATTTCAGGGTATGAAAGAGAAATGAGGATCTATGCTTGACTAGATATGGTGGGATGAAGGAAGGGGGAAAATAAAACTCGATTCCACAGTGTTGAGGTTTTTAACCAGGAGGGGATACCTTCACAGACGTTGAGAGATCAAGAGGAAGAGCCAGTGTGGGTGGGAGAAGAGAGAGCTAAGATGTTGGCCATGGGGAGGAAGAGGTGATAGTGGGGGTCTAGCTGGAAATACCTAGCAGAAGTTGTCACCAGTTACCTGGCACTGCAAAGACCTATCAAAGCTGCAGATCAGGGTTTGAGAGCCTCATCCCCGTGGGAACAGGTAGAGAAGCCAAGGAGGGGGCAGCGCTCAGTAGGAGACCCTGGAAAATGGTGCATCTCTGCACTCAGAGAAGAAGGAATTTCCCAAAAAGGTTTGGTTAATAACACGAAGTAAAAAAGAGAGGATGAGAGCTGAGAAATGTCCATGGTGCGAGTGTTGGTGGCCTTTGGTAGAGTAATTGCCGGACACTGGTGGTTGTCTGGGATTGCCGAGAGCACTTTGTGGGGGACTTAGCAGCAGTGAGAAAGATCTGTGCCGGAGCAGACGGGAGAAAGACCAGAGCTAGAGAAGGGAGGTCAAGTGAAGGGCTAGGGTGCATGTGGTTTTGTCTTCTATTTGTTTCTGGTTGTTACCGCAAAGACACGCCTGTGTATTTCTAATCAAAGAGCCACGAACAGAAAAGAATTGAAGATGCTGGAGAGAAAAGATCCTTAACGGAGTTCAGTCTTGGAGGAGGTCTGGAGTTTTGAGACCAAGCGTAAAGACAGAGGAAATCACTTTGACAAAGAAGGATTTACACCTCTTCCTTCAACAAAGACAGGAAGAAGGTCG